TCCTGCACAAATTTGGATTCCTGACCACATTCTCATCCTTGATAACAGCACTATACTCAACACCCACTGCTAAATTGGTTAACGGAGGCTTCGTGTCCAAACATTTCACAATCTCCAATGGCACAAGGCAGAGCTCCCCGTTATCCCCCCTACTTCACATCCTAGCCCTAGAGCCGTTAGCTTAAATGATAAGGGATAACCAGAACATCCATAGTATCAATCTCCAGGGCCGTGAATATAAACTATCACTATTCGCAGATGACAGTCTTCTCACACTAGAGCAACCACACATCTCTTTGTCGAATTTCCACCAAATTTTTTCCCAATACAGCAAACTTAATATACTGAAAATGCAGGCCCTGGGCATAAACACCCTCAAGGGATACATTTAGAACCTCTAAAATAATTTTAAACACAGTTGCAAGAAAAAGTATGTGAACCCTTTGGAATTATATGGATTTCTGCACAAATTGGACATAAAATGTGATCTGATCATCATCTAAGTCACAACAATAGACAATCACAGTCTGCTAAACAAATAACACACAAAGAATGAAATGTTGCCATGTTTTTACTGAACACACCATGTAAACATTCACAGTGCAGGTAGAAAAAGTATGTGAACCCTTGGATTTAATAACTGGTTGAACCTCCTTTGGCAGCCATAACTTCAACCAAACGTTTCCTGTAGTTGCAGATCAGACATGCACAACGGTCAGGAGTAATTCTTGACCATTTCTCTTTACAGAACTGTTTCAGTTCAGTAATATTCTTGGGATGTCTGGTGTGAATTGCTTTCTTGAGGTCATGCCACAGCATCTCAATCTGATTGAGGTCAGGACTCTGACTGGGCCACTTCAGAAGGCGTATTTTCTTCTGTTTAAGCCATTCTATTGTTGATTTACTTCTATGCCTTGGGTCATTGTCCTGTTGCAACACCCATCTTCTGTTGAGCTTCAGCTGGTAGACAGATGGCCTTAAGTTCTCCTGCAAAATGTCTTGATAAACTTGGGAATTAATTTTTCCTTCGATGATAGCAAGCCGTCCAGGCCCTGATGCAGCAAAGTAGGTCCCAAACCATAATGCCCCCACCATCATTTCACAATTGGGATGAGGTTTTGATGTTGGTGTGCTGTTTTTTTTTTTTGCCACACGTAGTGTTGTGTGTTTCTTCCAAACAACTCAACTTTGGTTTCATCTGTCCACAGAATATTTTGCCAGTACTGCTGTGGAACATCCAGGTGCTCTTGTGCAAACTGTAAACGTGCAGCAATGTTTTGTTTGGACAGCAGTGGCTTCCTCTGCGGTATCCTCCCATGAAATCCATTCTTGTTTAGTGTTTTACGTATTTTAGATTCGCTAACAGGGATGTACTTGTACTTTATGTGAATTTTTAATACTATTACATCTCATTATTACATACTCCATTGTTCTGAGCTAAAGCCCATCTCCTTTCTTTCCTGTCTCCATTTTGTAGATTTCTGTGTCCCTCACTCCCTACCACTAGATTAAAATTTCCTTCAACCTTCTAGCCATCCTGTCCCCCCGCACACCAGACACTCATCCATTTAGGTGCAATCCACCACAGCTATAAAGATTGTACCCAAGTGCAAAATCAGTCCAGTGCTCTAAAAAGCCAAAACCCTCATTCATACACCATGACTTTAGCCATGCATTAACCTCCATAAACTCCTGATGTGTTTCTACTGTAGCGTGTGGCACATGTAACATTTCTGAAAAAACGACTTTGAAGGTCCTTTCCTTCATTCCTTCAGTTTACTTCCTAATTCCCTGAACTCATACTTTAGGACCTTCCATCTTCCTCTAAATTGGTCATTTTCAGCCTTTCCCAATAATCCATCTACTCTGTCAGGAACTTATCAAGACCAAATCACCTGATCAACCTGTCTAACCGTTCTTACATTCTCCACCAAACTGGTACTAGAGGGGCTGTTCCCTCAGCTGTTAGAAGGAGCAACTTCCTCCAGTACAGCTAGTAGCTACTCGTGAACTGATGCTCCCATCATCTTCAGTGAGACAGGCAAATCTGATAGGTTGCATAAAGTCAGGACTAGCTAAACATTTCCTCTTCCCTTATCTCCGATGCCATGTGGTACTGTTGTCCAGCTACGTGCCAAATTCCCAACTGTCATCTCCTTTCACTCTAGTGGTCCCTACTCAGTGAGCAGCAGACCCCTTTCAAGATTGCTAATCTGTCTCAATGTTGCAATTTGTTTCTCCGGATTTCCAAGAGGAACTTCCAGAGAAGCCACTCGCTCACATCCGCCACAGAGGTATGGACCCTGGACAGATACATCCAGGCATGCATGAGTAAATCTTCAATCTTCAATCTTGCTAACACCTAATTCCACTGTAACCAAAAACAACAAAAACAGCATACTAAAACAATAACTAGCTTTCTGGATTAAACTCCTGTTGTTCAACACCTACTTAAAAATGCTCTACTTAAAAGAGACTACTTTTAAGCAACACCAAGTGTGGTTTGCATTGGTATCCAAAAACGCACACAGGTAGAAATTAACGAAGCACTCCCTAATTAAAGCAGCAGCAGCCCTCAGGGGAGAAAAAAAATAAAAATGATAAAATATATCACGACCTTCTACTTCACAAACTCAAAACTCAGTTATTGGTGATCGTGCGCTGACCTGGTTTCGATCATATGTATCGGATCGCTCGCAATATGTGTCCATTTCTGACAGCGACTTCCTCACTCTCCCAGTCACGTGTGGTTTTCCCCAAGGTTCCATTCTCGGCCCCCTACTATTTACATTATTTATAAATGATCTGCCTAATGTCTGCAAATCCTCAAATGTACACATGTAGGCAGACGACACAGTAATCTATGCAAATCCGACGTACCGCAGCTTGAGGCTGTGCTCCAAGACCAGTTTACAAAGGTAGAAAAGTGGAGTGCAAAAAACAAACTCTTGCTAAACACTGACAAAAATTATCTTTTAGAACAGTACCTAAATTACACAATTTTCACCTATCCATCAAAACTAATTCAAATTGCACGATGACCACAGTCAACTCTTTCAAGTACTTGGGTATGTTGTTAGACCCCAATCTATCTTTTGGCCTTGTAACGGATCACCTGGCACCCCGACTGGGTACCTCCGTTGAAGGATGCTCCTAGCGCTTCCTGAGGACTCCAAGCACTCTGGCAGACACCACAATCACCGAACCGGAGAAACAAATAAATTCTCCTAAGCATATGAATGCTGTAGACAGTTGAATAGGAACCATACGAATAGGTTTACTCTCCTAGCAGTCAAACTGGAACAGCATACAATAAATCCTTCCCCCAATAATGAGACGACACTTCACTTTGAGGGTTAAAACAGGAACTCCCTGTACTGTCACATACAGTCTCTTTTATTCCCAATCCACAAACATAGTACAGCCCACAGGGCGTTACAAAACAGCCAATCAATCCATACAATACACCCAGACACTCCCACACAAAATCCTCCCCTCTGGCTGTGATATGATTACTGAACACAATGGGTAATCTAATTATTACAGCCAGAGAAATACAGTTTCATAAAACACATCACAGGGACCCCAAAACATGCAATAACCCCATAAAATATATCCTTGGAACTGGGGGATCTGGGTGAACCACATATCCAAAATTCACCCAGATCCGTTCAGTACTTTGGAAAATACAGTTTAATGCAGATTCTGCAGAACATATACAGGCTAAATAAAAACAATCACTGTATAATGTGTCCCCTGCTGTATAGTCCAAAACCACCGCACGATGTCTCTGTGCAACAAATACTGGCGAGATGGCACCGTGTTGAAAAGTCCACACAGTGTCTGTGAGTTAAAATGGCCGCCATCCATTGTTCTCACCATGTGCTTCTGATACAGGAAATGGTGGCCACCCAGTAACTCCACAGTATGTCCCCAGATGGTTCTTAAAAGGGCTAGCAGCAGCACAACACAAATCCATTATGCCCAAATCATGTCTTTAAAGGGCAATACATCCCAGGGGCCATAGTCACATGGCAGGAGGCTGGCAACCAGGCTTCTCCAGTGCATAGTGGCGAGGTTGGTTCCGCCACAGGCCTCCACATAGAAAAACTTGCATCTAAACTTTATCCAAAACTAGGTGCCCTGTACAGAAACAAATCTTGCCTAAGCCCTACAGTAAAGGAAAAGTTTGTACAGCAAATGCTGATGCCAATCTCTGATTATGGGGATGTAGTATATGCACCTGCACCGCAATCCCATATTAATAAACTCAATACATTGTATAACTCGTTCTGCCGATTGCGTTACAATGTAATTACAGGACCCACCATTGTGACATGCTAAAAGAACTAAACTGGCTGTCGCTGGAATCCAGACGCACCCTTCATCTTTCCCGCCTTGTTTTTAAGCGCATTTCTGGGAAGCTCCCACCCTACCTGAGCAAAATGCTTTCCTTGGCTGTTCTCACCTCCTATAACCTTCGATCCAGTACCAGCACTTTATTTAGTCTACCGTAATTCAAAAAGAAAGCGGCCCGATCCTCCTTTTCCTACAGAGCTCCGCAATTATGGAACGACCTCCTGCACACTTTAAAATATTCCCCAAGCCTAAAGTCCTTTAAGAGATCCCTCTCTACATACCTCAAAACAGAATGCACGTGTTATGGTTGATTATATATTTCCTACCTGTTCTGTGTTAAATTTTATATATGTTGTGTATTAATATTGTTTTTGTATTTCATTGTACCCTTTTCAATGCAATGTATCAATGCAATGTTTTGTGGACCCAGGACATACTTGAAAATGAGAGAAGTCTCAATGTATCCATCCTGGTAAAATATTTTATAATTAAATAAATATATGTAATTATTATTGGATTTAAGCAGTCGGTTGTGTATTTCTATCACTTGAACAGCCAGGGGCTTATCAGTTCATGCAACAGGGTTACGTCTTCGTGCACAGCCCTTGTCTCTATGATTGCTTTTTATTTTCATTTTAAAAGTGAAAGTGATTTCTCGCAGCTGGCATTACATGCTCCTTCCTTAGCTGTCAGCTCCACAGTCCTTCCTGGAAGGTCTACTGTAAACACCTCCGACCTTTCTATTGCATCCCTATGAATAAGACTTACTCATCTGCAAGGTAAGTGAGAGAACCCACAGCATGCACCGAGCACCGACATCTCAGAGGTAACAGAGAGATACCTCACAGAAGTTCCATAGCATCCACGTCTGCAGGGAAACAGTAGTTACTGCAGGGAAACAAACAAAACGACTGTGTATGTTGCACATGCTGGGTTTGTTTACTAAACAGTAAATTATGGTGAAATTAAAATTATCTAATTAAGACTAAAATAGTCAAATTGTGACTATAGTTGAGTCGGGCAATGTTTTTAAGTGAGTTTTGCTATTTGCTTTTCTGCAATGTACTGTTTGTTGGCTAAACCCTGCTGTAATTACATGTGTCAGCTAACGTAGTATGCGGATCATGTTCCAATCATGATTCCGTACCATGGGAGACACTTAAAGGTGATCTTTAATATGACAGTTAACTAAAGTTTGCAAAAGATCAAAATGCAGCCAAAGGCATTCGCAACTCCATCATAGAATATGTATCGCTGCCACGTTGGTGCTCCGAACCTCTTCCAGTTTCTCTCATTTCACCTTTTAAAAAAATCCCTTTTTGTCAATGTTGGGAGTGATGTATTGATTTTTGGTTGCAATGTGTTAAATGTTGAGAGACATTATATTGGTTTCAATGGTGATTGCTCCTTATTTAGCACTTTACCCAAGAATAGCACCTGTTTTGCTGATAAATCTCCACCGTAATCGCATAAATTTAGATAATGAGGAATTAAAGAATAAATTGCTTGTGTAAGAAGTATGTTAATTAACATAGAATGTTGCCTTTTTTTACCTATTGGGCATACAAATTGTGCGCATCATAAAATCTAACGCTATACCAATGGGATATTTACCGTTAGATATGAGATCAAAGTGAATGATGAGTCATCCTTGGATAGACAGTACAATTTGATCTATACCAGCTATGTACAATTGTGAGCGTTCAGCAACTGTGAATGCAATTCCTATAATTGCAAAACCCAAATTAATACCAGCTGCTGATGGGGAATTATGGGAAACTGAAAGAAAATTATGGGAAAATTAAGTTTATGGAAAGTCAGAGAGGCAATGCATAAATGGTTTATTAACTTCGTGGCAAAATCCTTTTTTTGGTGTAATTATAGATAATTTGACCAGCACCACTGCTAGATAATGCATGTTCTGGGTTTTTCTACGCAATGTTGCTCATTTATGACCCTGCCATACTGCAGAGGGTGCAGGATATCAGGATATGCCAGTTGATACTGGCACTTGCTTTTTGGTAAGTTAATGTTCTCAGAGGGAGCAGGAAGGAGCTGTGCCACAAAGGTACATCTCTCCCACTCATCCGCTAGATTATAAGGTAGAAACAGATTACTGGGAAACTCACGTGCTTGTCGCCTACTTGAAGATGGTTGGGGGGGGGGAGGAGGGTGGACCAGTGCTTATTTTTCAAATTATATTTTAACAGAGTTCTGCAATCGTTCATCAACCTAAAACAAATAATTCTTCTGAATATATGAGTTGACATCGGTTAAGTTAACAATAGACGTGTAAACATAATAGCAGATTACAGTAACTCAGTAACTTGCTGGGAATTACTTACTTGGTCAACAAACTATAGGTGTAGTTGTCAAATAAAAACAAGACTGAATGAGTTCAAATGTTTATAGAGCGCACACACAGGTAGTGTGTTTTTAACTTGCTTACAAAATGCTATTGCAGGTGTTCTACCAAATTTCCCTACCCGTTAAATTTCCCTACCCTCGCTCCTCTGTCTGGACCATCAGTGTAGCTCCAATTTACAACCTGCAGTGGTGTTTGTGGGAGCAATACATTTCATTGGGGTGTTATCAAACGTGAATATTTATTATGACAAACAAACTAAAACTTAGCTAAACTACATCATATTTTAAATTCAACACTTCAATTAATGCAAACTTGAAAAAAATGAAAGGAAACTTTTTTGATATACTGATAAGCATCAGATATAAACATAAATGATAATCTTCATCTTTGACAAGATAACAAACTATATCAGTGTAGGTAGGAACATAAATGGGGACAAGATGGGCAAATTAGCCCTACATTAGGGTCTGCCTGGGCACATCTGGCCACTTAGCTATGCATCATATCCAGCCCCTTCTCTAAGGAGAGAAACACAGGGTAAGAGGGCAATTGACTGTAGATAAATCTGTCACTATTTCTTCTTGGAACAAAAATGAAATGAGATATGAAGAGCTTTTGCTTCAAAATGAATACAATCTTCAGTATTCTATATTCTTGCTACCGTACAGTTCTGTGGTTCTTGAATGGGTTGTGCATATATATATCTACAGGGCAAGCATTCTTGTTTCTAATTATAAGTTCATGTTATAGATAAGAATATACATTGTTGTAAATAAATACATACATTTATTGAGCGTAAGCAGTTGATGAAAAGTAGCATTCCATTTTGATTGGTTTAAATGTGTGAATTATTGGTGGTTTTGAGCAGTATTGCACATGGAGTATGGAAGGGTCATCCTATGGTCAGTACAAGACAAACCGGTTGCCTCATTGGCAACAATTAGAAGCTTGCAAACATTGCAAATTAGGGCATAGGGGGGTGAATTGAGAGTAAAACAATACGGATTGGGGACAGTTAGGAATTAATGAATTGGGAGGGCACAAAGATGGTATATTTGTGATAGATCCACTTGAAATTTGTTTGGCTCCCCTAAACCTGCTCTAGCCAACGTGATCAGTAATCTACCCACAACAAAACCTGGAGGCATCTTTTATCACTAAGGATCAAATGCTTCTTTGTTCATATATTTCATAGCCTTGTGTTTTGTGACAATGTTCTTTCCTTTCCAATACCTCTTTCAGTTAGGAAAATAAAAGTTTCCGTTCTGAGGCTCCGTCTCTTTCCATATCATTTTTGCCTATTCTGAAAATCAAATGACTACGTGCATACCTCCCAACAGTCCCAGATTCAGTGGGACCATTTGCATTTTGAGTTCCTATCTCATTGTCCCAGGTTGGTCTCCTGGTGTCTTGCCTCAATAAGCTTGCCCATTACCTGTCCCGATTTCATACCTCCTAATGTTAGGCGGTATGCTTACTCTTGTTTCCAGAATGGGCAGTTTGTTGATAGCAAGAATTTTCCTCCTAAACTGCTTCCTTCTCTTCTGTATTGTGTCACTAATTTATTCTCTTCTATTTCTAACTGAATGTCTACCCACTTTCTTAAGCTTGGTCTTTAAAACAGAATGTATATTTTCTCTGTCCAATGTAACTTCTCAGAGATGCCCTACCTTGCCCCATGTGACCTTGCCTCACTTTCCAGTTCTTTCCAGTTCTTTAGGGAATCCTCTCAACTTACCATCAAGACCCACTACCAATTGAAGAGTACCCCATCTTATGTCACACAGTTTGTACTGCCAAGGTATGTTCTACCCTTCACCTTCTCATACTACCAACGCAACCTGATTTATTTAAATGTCTCGATCAAATATATCACGTAGATGGTTATTCACTAAAGTGACATTTTTCGAGAATTCAAAGTGAATTTGAATTAAATTTGTCATTTAAGGCCACAACTGATGAACTGGAAAAAGTATTCTATGCTTCTAATTGAGTTATTTTGACGTTAAACATAAAAGTTACTTTGAATTCCAAGAATTCTAATTGTACCTTAGTTCCTTTAGATTGTAAGCTCATTTGAGCAGTTTCTTGCCATGCCTCGTTTCTATTCACAAAAAAAATAATCAATGTATTCCTTTTAGCAGTTATGGAGTATTACGGAATAGTTTGGTGGGCTTGCCCTTTGTTCAGAGCAAGTGGTGGTCTATTTGAGAAAGTGTGCACGTTGGTTGGTGTTAGCATCAACAATAGGCATGCAAATGGGATGTGCTAGGTGTGTCCAGGAACAACCTAAATCAGGGGTAGGCAACCTTGAGGACTCCACTTGTTGTGGACTACATCTCTCTAGTGCCAAAGATTGCCTACCCTTGCCCAAAACAAAGGATATGTTCTCTTTGCTGTGTTTGAATGTTTGAAATAAAGATCATAAAGGTTGGTTGTATCGTTGATTTGGACTTGTGATGACAGCAGTCTAATGTCGAATTTTATGATTCTATTTTTAACTAAAATATAGTTGACTAAAAGTAAGTTCAATAAAGTTTGAAAAGAAATATCAAACAAAAAGTTTTTTTTCAAAATGTCTTGGGTCCACATCCTGATAATGTATAAAAAGGGGCATTTGTCTCAGGATGAAAATATAATTTTGCCTCTTTATAAGTCAAAGACTACGTCTTGAATATACTGTGCAGCCATGCATACTTAGACTGGTAGAAATTAGATTTAGTCTAAGGCAAAGAAAAGTTTTTTTTACAGTAAGACCAATAAGGATGTGGAATTGTCTGGCTGAAGAGGTGGTTTTATCAGAGTCAATGCAGATGTTTAAACAGTTTAACTGGATGAATACTTGCAAAAACATAATGTTCAGGGATAAAATTTTTAATATGTAGGTTAACAACAACTTGATCATAGAAGAGATTTGATTGCCATTCTGAGGTCAAGAAGGATTTTTTTTTCTAGTTTGTTGGAAAATTAGAAAGCTCTACAAATAGTTTTTTTGCCTTCTTTTGGATCAACAGCAAAACTAGATGTGAGAAAGGCTGAACTTGATAGAGGCATGTCTCTTGCAACCTATGTGACTATGTAACTAACTATATAATCAGAGGCACTGCACATGCTTGTGATATTAATTACTGGCTGCCTAGCACCCAGAGACTGCAATGCAGTCCCGCTGCATATTAATACCAAGTCAAGCAGTGGGTGTAGGAAAGCAAGGTTGTGTCCAGTATTAAAATACACCAAACTATTTGCATATATATATATATATATATATATATATATATATATATATATATATATCTCAAAGTTCCTTGCATTACATGCTTTAATAATATATTGGCTTACATGCTGGGTGCTGGATCCAGGTCATAAATATCCAGATAGTTCAAAGTATGGTCCGCACTCCAGGCTCCGTTCAAAAAAAATTACTTTTATTCTTACATCAAAGTTAAAAATTGTATGCCAAAAGTCAACGTTTCAGTCCCAGCTCGGGACTTTCATCAGGACAAATGAAAAGTCCAGAGGTGAGACTGAAACGTGGACTTTTGGCATACAACTTTTAACTTTGATGTAAGAATAAAAGTTATTTTTTTTGAACGGAGCCTGGAGTGCGGACCATACTTTGAACTATCTATCTATATATATATATCTATGTATATATATATAGGGTTGAGGGCACATAAAAAAATGACCTTCAGGAAGCAGAGAAGGTAAGTCAGATTATGCATTTAAGTGAATATCTGTTTTTGTATTTCTATTAGGGGGTATGGAGTATGCTAGCTAGTTTGTGTTTATAGATACGTGGTAGTATACGTCTGTTGATGTGTGTAAGTGTATTTCAGTGTATGTGTGAGCATGTTGCTAATCAGTTTGGTGTGTGACAAATTTATGCATGTGGTTAATGAGAAGTGTGTGTGGTGATTTTATATATTTGTAAGCAACCAGCTATGTGTGGCTAATCATATATCGTATGTGGTTTCATGGACATGGATGGAGCATGCAAAAGTGTCGTGCCCATGTCCCACAAATAATCCCATAGTTTTGTACTATTAAAATATATATATATCATAATGATTGCCAGCATAAAGATCTAACATATATATTTTTACATTCTAGATGCCTGGTTGTTCATTAAAAAATATATACATTTTTGACTGTTTATAATTAATCATAGCAAAAAAGTTGGCCTCTGCAGCTAATGACGATCCACTTAATTTTTGCACAGCACTTTCTTGTGCTGGACATTGTCCATTAAATGCTCTCCTAAAAAAGCATTGAAGACACATTACATACATCAATTCCAAAGCTTTGGATCATTGGAGCTGGCTGGGGCTGCTGGGAGATGATTGGGGCTGTTACAGGCAATGTCACCTTCTCTTTCTTCATTCCTTTCTTTGGCTGTGTGGCTTTCATGTGTGCCAGGAGGAGGTGAAGTGTATTCACAGCTCAACTAGACACTTGTCAGAGATTCCCTAAACACAAAGACCACCCGATAGGCCCTCGCCCCCCACATGTCTGTGTAACCCGGGATGTCTGTACTGGCTTCATAATCTGTAGTTCAGCCCTTAGATGGTGTAGAATCAACCAGCGTTTATGGTTGAGTTCAAGAGAGTTCAACACATCATTCAATCCCTAAAACTAACTATGTAAGATATCAGCAGCAGAGCAGGAATTATAAACAATCTGTGCATGTTCAGAGGGAGAACTCGGTCTAGTATACATTAGTATATTTTAAGAATGATCATTCAAGTAAAAGGGGCCTTTCTATTGTGCACTTCATCCGGAAAGACAAATTTGGCAGACAGATACTTTGTTATGGCTGTGAACATCTGATAGCATTGAGCTACTGCAGGTTGCATGACATAAAGAATTGCCTGTCTACTGTGTCTGGAGTTGGAAAACCATAAATACTTAATTGACCCTTTAAACTCAATAGGTAAAGACACCAGGGGTGACAGCGACACTTTAATTCCATGCTATCGATGGGGCCGAGGAGGAGGCAGTGTCTGGACACCAAGAAGAGCCTTGGGCTTTATCAAACCCTTCCCAAACAGTTTAATGATTACACCCAGACATTCAAGACAACCAAACTAACAAGCTCACATTAGGCTTTATTTCTAGCAAATAATGGGGCAAACCTCCAGTTTATTTTTAATTTGATTGTTTTGTGTGTGTATATACACACACACACACACACATACACAAACATATATATGTAAAACATCCTCATTAATGAGATCTTACTGATACAGAGGAGAGGAAAACAGAGGACCAATAATTAAAAAAAAACTTTTTTTTAAATGAAAACAAGAAAGTGTGCATTCAAATATTAAACGGCCTGTATGATATATATGTGGTGTTAGCAGCATGCAGCCCTCTGGTACAGAACATTGTAATGGAGAATCCAGATATGTGAATGTTCGTAACCGGATCTTGCTTCACTTCATATTCCACGCTCTTGATTACGCGTTTCGCACATCAGTTTTATCTGATCTGTAGTTTCTTGTCGTCTTGCATCTTGTACATATCCGTAGTAAACGTTCCTCCTCTATTGCATTCAATTAATTAGTGCTGCCATGCAATACATCTGTTGTATAAATTTATATGTATATTGTAACTGAATGCTCTACTATATAACAAATAGATATTTAACAAATCTATACTCTAGCCTGTATAAATAACCTTGTGTTCATACGTGTGCAATTTGCAATAAACCAGAGAATACAACCGATTAAAGTACTTGGAGGGGGGGAAATCTTATTAGAAATCTTATATATAGAGAAACTTATTGGATATATAGCTCAAAGACATTGGCCCCATTAGGGTTAAATGCAGAATACGAAATTTCCAACATTTTATGATAGGATGTAATATTAAGCATTTTTTATATTTTTTGCATTTCTGATTTCCAATATATCACAAGTATTTTTATAATAGTGTTTTTACTAATTTGTATTGTTAGTTTATACTTATCTTTTATGTTTAATTTAACTAAATATATTTAGGGAAAATATCCCTAACTTTAAGAACGAGACTTGGCACTTTATATTTCTTATTACAGACCAGCAAATAATAAGTTAAGAACCCTTTCCACCAACTTACTTGCCGCTATAGCTACTTAGTCACATTTTGCTTTATTGAGGACTCATGGATGCTGAATAAATTGTTAAACCTATCTAACTGAATCAGTCTCCCGTGTGCACTAATCAATATTTAGTAAATAAAGTGAAAATATTTCAAGGAAAAAGTAACGAACACTGCAACAAATGTTCAAAGTCCAAACAAAGTTTATTTGGCACAGAGAGAGAAAAAGACAAATGGAAAACAAGGTTAAACTAAACTTCCTAATGCGTTTCAGAGGTCCGGTCCTTAAAGGGGACACTATGGCTTTAGGAATACAAGCAGATACTTAAAGTTCTAGTGTCCTGGAGACTTAAGTAGGTCTACTGTGTGAATATTTGAAAGGTGTTGCTTGCCTTTTAACCCTCGCCATGCTGCACTTATAGCTGGCTGCTGCACTTCCATTTTGGCTGAGATCATCATTGCTGATGATCTCAGCCAATCCAATGCTTGCCCATAGGGAAGTTTCGGGAGGCTAGTGCAGCAAAACGCTATGCCAATCAAAACATTGCCATTCTGCTGCTCAAAAGAAAGGGGGACTGTACCCAGACAATAATAATGCAAACACTTGCAATAATGAAAGTGAAAACAGATAGCACTGTTTATTTATAGCCAGGAATACAATCAAATTGTGAAATAGTCTTTTTGTTTGTTATTTAATTGCTTTGCCCTTTGTGCTGTACTTTATTGCCACCTGTTTCTTGGTCTTTTAAAGGAAAAATACAACGTCTGAACAAGTTAATATAAGATTATGTGAAAAGACGCACAGTTTGTGCAGGTAATTTAAAAACTTTTTAAATTGTTTTTGTTTTGTTTTTACAATTGTTTGTATTTCGAGTCAGAATTCACTTGAAAAGTATCTCCTTCATGACAAGAGTTTAAGTAAATTCTGTTTTATCCTGAGATGCATGGTTCGGCACTAAAATCAGATTCATTAGTATTCCGAGTGCCATTTAAAAATGTGGATATCCTCAGATGTGACCGCCCTGAGTTTTGTCCAATGGATGTTCAAAGTAAATTCATAGTGAATTTCAGGTTTAAGGTAGCCGAACTGAGAGCATACCTGATTTAGAAGATTTTTCCCGTTTAGTTATTCTGACTTTAAAATTGAAAATCACCCGGTTAGAAACTCCACCAAGAACTTCCAAGAGGTTTGGGACCTGTGGGGGCAATATGATGCGTGAATGGATGTCACTTTATCACTTACTTCTCTTAGCAATGCCATACATGACATGAGGGTGCGTCCTATCCTCCGGTATTGTGGATTCATTATAGTTCGTTCTTTTTTCTTATTTGTTATTGTTTAACAAACCACATTGTTATATATACTTTCTCAATCTGATGATCACCAACGGCATTTGTACTTGCTATAGTCTATGGCTGAATCTTCTTGTAGATGAATATGGACATATGTCTTTTTGCTTTAAAGGACCACTATAGTGCCAGGAAAACATACTCGTTTTCCTGGCACTATAGTGCCCTGAGGGTGCCCCCACCCTCAGGGACCCCCTCCCGGCCGGCTGTGGAAGGGGGAAAGGGATAAAAACTTACCTTTTTCCAGCGCTGGGTGGAGAGCTCTCTGCCTCCTCTCCTCCTTCTCTCCTCCCGGTCGGCTGAATGCGCAAGCGCGGCAAGAGCTGCGCGCGCATTCAGCCAGTCGCATAGGAAAGCATTCATAATGCTTTCCTATGGACGCTGGCATGCTCTCACTATGAAAATCACAGTGAGAAGCACGCAAGCGCCTCTAGTGGCTGTCAATGACACAGCCACTAGAGGAAATAGGGGAAGGCTTAACCCATTCATAAACATAGCAGTTTCTCTGAAACTGCTATGTTTATGAAAAAATGGGTTAACCCTAGCTGGACCTGGCACCCAGGCCACTTCATTAAGCTGAAATGGTCTGGGTGCCTAGAGTGGTCCTTTAACATACTCATAACTGTCAATGTGGTGCTTATCTTTTCAGCCGCATGGCCAATGTTGTATATTCCATTAACGCTGTACATTTTTAAATCTACGTTTACCATACTGTGACATTTTGTAATAGGTTTGTGTCATAAACAAAAAAATTCTTATGGCGGGTACGTTCTATTTCAACCTAATACAATGCAATTTTGAATGCCTGTCACTAAATAAAGAACTAAAAAGTAAATTTAAAAAAATTGAAATGCACTTTGAATTCTTACTTTAGTGAATAACTTTAATCTAGACAACCAGGAGATTGTAGCCAATCATTGTTGGGTCTCATGTTGCTATATTTGCATATTCATAGCACTGCCCAGTTAAAACTTAACTTTTATAAGATACAAAGTAAAACGAAGGAAATACAGATAATCCCTAACAGAAATTATAAACATGTTATGGAATGTGAAACCCGTACCAGCACTGTGCAATTACAGAAGAAGGATTAGAACCATGATGGAGAGTGAAACCGTAAAATCACCAGAGAGTGGATCATGCTTAGTTATACGGAAAACTAGAGAAATCAAATAGTTCCTGGGTTGATAAGAGTTAATTGAGCATCTTAAAAACAAAAACAAATGTGAGAACTTTCTAGGAAAGAATGGTAATATCTGCTTATATAGTGAAAAAAATAAAATAAAAATAATATATACATATAGCATAATGCCTTATGATGTAGCATGATAGTATGTCAGTCTCTCCCTGTTTGGCTGTGTTTAGGTGGAGTTAAATTCCACAAAATGGGATTGCTAGGTAAAGGGACACTCCACTAAACAAAAATAAATATTTAGTAGATGTACCTGTAGATACAGCAGATACGTTTATCGCCAGATTTGACAGTAGAGAAGGGCTTGCAGTATTTGATATGCATTTTAAACCCAGCCAAAGAAAACATGATGTAAGACAGTGGGAGTGTATGATAATGTAGATTACAAATGCTGCAGATCTAGTATCTGCAGCTACTGCAAACCCCGCCCCCTTTCTATGCCCATATACTTTCTGTTGGTGTCCCAGGAAAGCAAATCAGAGGATTCTCACTGAGAAGTTTTGCTGACCAGCAGTGCGTGTGTTGCTATTCAATCACAGATCTCAATTACTGCCTGAAGTGTTTCTTAGGCGGACTAATGTTTCTGATATTTAATGATATCTAAGACAGGGGAACATGCAAACTTAAAGTGCAGTCAGTTAAGATCAAAACTCACGACAAGAGAAAATTAAATAAATCAAGTGGCAGCTTTGAGTTTGAGAAAGAAAATTATTAAATTATTAATAACAATCAATAAAAATAAGTAAACCATGCCAGTTGCTGGATGGTGCCCCTCTGCCCTCCCCACGTGGCATTACTCTAAGTGCGTGCTGTTTAACCCCTTAAGGACCAAACTTCTGGAATAAAAGGGAATAATGACATGTCACACGTCATGTGTCCTTAAGGGGTTAAGTAAATTGAAACCGAAGGTTTGGAAGCTTTCACAGAAACTGGAGTCCAGCCAATTCATAGCGATGGTCTTTAATTCTATTTATGTAAGCATAAGCTGCTACTGTGGCAGGGTGTGAACAGAAATTCTTAAACCTGGGCTGTATCACTTTTTGAAACTTCATTCTAAGTAGCATGGCACGTAAGGGTCTATTCACTAAGCAGTGAACTATGATTAAAACAAAATTGTCATTTTTTTTTATATTAAAATAATTCTTTAGAAAGTACATGCATATATATTAACTTTCTAAAAAATGTATATGTGTGTGTGTATGTATGCGTGTGTGTGTGTGAGCTTTAGTGTGTGTGTGTATTTTTTAATACGAAACAAAGCTAAATTAGATTTATGTTCTTTATACTGAATTCATTTTTTAAGCCACAGTTATCGTTAAATCACGTGCTTACTTATGAAGTATTGTTTAAAATCCCAGCAATGTCAAGTGCCACCTTGTTGTGGGAACAATCATTTCTTTGTTTGCAGCTTTACATTATTGTCCGTCTGCATTCTGATAATGTATAAAGGCGGTAGTATGATTTTTTATTGCTTGTCGGATAATAACTAGAAATAATATTTCCTGTTAAGAACAGGCTGCCAATTAACTTGTTTGAGTTGAAAGTGCAAATTCTGGAGACTAAATGTAACATTCCAAGAGTCAACAGTAGCTTAATTCAAGATTTATTTATTTATTCAATAATTTGTATATTTTTTATGATTTCTACAATTTCGGAATAATCATGGTGTCTTAAATTATAATTAGCATTTTTACATTGTTCTTTCTTTGTTCATATTTTGACATGCAAATAATAAGCTCCCGATGTATGGCATATGTCATTTAAAATTAACCTGGCATTCCAACTTCACCTAACGTTTTAACAATTCCCAAAGAACTACAAAATCATTTATCTTAAAAAATCCAACTTTATGGGGCATTAATAAATGTGCCACTTTGGTTAGAATTCAGTTATTTTCACTGGATTTATTTTCACTGGGTTTTGTGCATCTGACCAAAATTCAGTGTTTAGTACGGTAGTCTGGAGTGCCAAAGGTTGTCTAACCCTGTTAGTGAGTAGTCTGCAGTACAAGATGTGACCACTCGGGGTGTGAATGCTCTAATATAATCAGTAGTCCGTTGCTTTTTTCTTTTCTTTTTTTTTTTGCACATTCAGCAAAATTTCATTATTAAACTCTTTCCAGGTTCAAAGAGGTTTCTACTGCTCTGGGGAAGACAGAGCAAGTATAGTGAATTGCTTATTATGGGCAGTTGTCAGAGGCCTAATGATTATGAAGCCCCTGTTCTAAACATTGGGGATCCACTGAAAAGTCATGGGCACCGCGGTTTAGATCACAACCCAGGAGTTTAATCATTTAATCAAGACTGCATTGTATTGCACTGACTATGCAGCCCAGGGCAATTTGTATATGTGAGAAAACTCAGTTCCAATGTTCCCAATATAGACATAAACATAACAAGTGGTTAATCATTTGCAGAAATTACTGGTGTGATTTGATAGCGAAAGGTAAACATTTCCATAGGTAAATATTTCCTGCATAGTCAGTGCAATACAATTATGTTAAGCTCTAGTTGTTATGGTGTGTAGGACGTCCATTTAAAGGGACACTCCAGACTCCTAAACCATCTCTGCTTGCTGAACTGCTTGCCCCCATGTCCCAATTTATAAAAAGGCAGTTTTCATGAGAAATTGTTACTTTTATGAATTACTTTAGAAACACAACTGCATCCAACGCAATGCATATAGCTCATTATAAGGATGACAGGTATGACTAACAGGGTTATTCGGTAACATGAAAATTCCAGGTGAATTTAAATAGAGTTTCAAATTTAAGGTCAAAATAGAAAAGATGGAAAGATTCTGTATTTAGTTATACTTTCAGTTCGGCTATTTTGGGTTTAAATTTGAAGTTCACTTTAAATTCGATTTGTATCCTTACTTTATTAAATAACCCTGTAATTGTTTTGTGATTCGCAGTCTACGTTGTCGGAAACCCATTTATTAAACAGCAATTTTTAATTTTAATTTTTTTTAAACATACAGAACACACAAACATGAAAAGGGTTGACAATTCAAAAATTACAAACACACAGGATTTTGCCATCACAGCATCAGAATAATAAAGACATAACTATGTTATAAAATGAAGACAATAACACATAGCGTACTGACATCGATGGGGAGAAAGATGATGATGTTCATTGATGATAAATTGTATAGACAGTTACGAAAATAATATGGGTAAACTAAATTGTTTACTACATAACGTTTGTGGGGGAAATTACAAGATAAGCATTAAAGTAGTAACGTCCCTAGACAACAAAAGTAGTTAAATAATCAAGTGAAACATATAAGGAAAAGAAAAAATCTCGGTGGTATTGCTTCTCGGCCTCAAACAACTTGAGATTGTAATAGGTAGTCCATCCAAGGTTGGCGTATTATTTATTTATTTATAAACTATTTTACCAGGCAGGATACATTGCGATTTCTCTCGTTTTCAAGTATGTCTTTATAGAATTATAAAGGAAAGGACCAGATGTCAAGTAATTGCGAGTTTGGCTGTAGGAGAGGAATAAAGCACTAACATTGAATTAAGCTAGTGAAGGCTAAATCTCCTCCAAAAATACTTTTTTGACACCTACAGATACAGGGATAGATAAGGCAGAATGTAACTTAGCATAGTAGGAGAGATTGTGTATTTTGATTGCATTGTCTTTGGTCTCACAAGAGGGAACAAATCCAGTTTGATCAGGGGTCCTAGTACTTGTAGTATGGGGATGTAAATTTAAAGCAAACCATTTAGCAATCAGTTACATTCACGAAACGTTTATTATGGAGATGGGTTTTTTTGTTTGTTTTTGTTTAGAACTTTACATTCCTCACAAGTACTTTATAAAGAAGCACATTTGTGTATTCTTAACCAACAGGCCTTCAGATAAGCAAAGCCATTATCACGGATCATGTCAACCATATTTTGTACAAAACTACTACTGCAATGCACAACACAAGCATGTTCTGTAATGCAATAAATGAACACTAATACTATGTCATACGTGTTGGACTGGTGATTTAAATAATAGTAAGGTTGCTAATGTCTATGTTTTTTTTTTATCTTACAGCTTACATTTCTCTATGATTAAGGAAAAATAAAATGTCTTGTGTGCAGAATGTAACTCAGTTCGTCCTCTTCATTTTGCTGCTAGCTGGATTTTCTAGCAGTTTCTGTAAGTACTGCTGCAGATATATTAAAACTCTCCCCAAGTTGTTATTTTAGAACTGAATCTGATGTAGAATTGCTGTTTTTCGTAGGTTTTTTTTTAGCTAAAAGGCAAACGAGCATCCATAGTACCAATGAATTTTGCATGCCCAGTGGGTTAACCTCTGGCTGGTACTATGCATATTTACTTAGTCGCACATGTGAAATAGGGCCGTTCCACCGGTCACACCCATATGTGTTAGCATGCACAAATATATATTAGAATGAGGTCCTACTGTTTGTTGTTGTTTTTTTATTATTTATTTTGCATTTTTAAATAATTTACAATTAACGTGGTTATTAGTGATGTCCAGAACGGTTCGCCGAACGGTTCGTCGCGGACGACGAACATATGCGGTAAACTTTGACCCTGTACCTCACAGTCAGCAGACACATTCCAGCAAATCAGCAGCAGACCCTCCCTCCCAGACCCTCCCACCTCCTGGACAGCATCCATTTTACATTCATTGTGAAGCTGCATTCTTAGTGAGCTATCCAGGAGGTGGGAGGGTCTGCTGCTGATTGGCTGGAATGTGTCTGCTGACTGTGAGGTACCGCATATTTCGCCGTCCGTGGCGAACCTTTCGGGACATCACTAGTGGTTATCAATCATTTCAGTAAGATAGCATTAAAAAAAAATCAATAACAAATGCTTTGAGAAGTACAATTGTTGTGTTCTCTATTCTATGTATCGGTTACAAGGTAGCTCAACTTGTACTTTTGCAGGTCTGTAGATTTCACCTTTTAGTATTCGCTCTATCGATAACACACTACACTGTTGACAAGGATGAACTGGACAATATGGAGTCCCAGTGGTTTTATGGCGGACTTTTAGTATCCGGTTTTCAGAACTGAAATTCACCAAAAAGTCGTTTATATATATGTAATAGGTATCTCCCATGATCCTACCTGAGCACCACATGACCCGTAGGTTAAGTATGGTGACCAGGCACATTTAATAAGATGTGTACTCATGAAATGGTGAACTGTGAGGGATTAAACATTGTAGACCAAATTAGCAGTAGCACTTAGCTGGGCAGGGAAGTATAAACAGAATCTGTAGTGCTTTATTAAAATTTAAGATGTTCAATTGTCACTGATACTGACTTCTCTTCTTTCATTAATTTTTAGATCTTAAAATTTCTTGCACAAAACCTGATGTGGTTTGGAGTGGAGACTCTGTGACTGTGAGGTGTGATATAACACATCATGTGGATACTCTTAAAGTACGATTTAACAACACCAACTTTACCTTTGCCCGTGAAACAAATTCCAGTGGAGCGATGTCTGTAGGGTTCACCGATCACGAGGTGGCACTGACAATAAACAATGTCAGCTTGTGTAATGAAGGTGAATACAGACTATTTTTGAGTGGCAAAGATGGATTCCAAGATCACACGTTTTATTTGACTGTTGGTAAGTGGCAACAACGGACAAAATAATAGAAAATGGTTTAGACGATAATTCATAGATGTGGAGATGTGTTAACAAACAAAAATATGGGAGAAAAATAAGGTTGTGTAAGAACGTGTATAAAAAAAACCCTATATCAAATATATGAAATATACGTCCACTAAAAAACTGCATTGAAAGTTCATTAGTATAACAGCTGTGTAGTCTTGAATCACTCATGCCATTACATATCAGACATCTCCTTGGCCAATAAGGGTATTTGTCTCATCCCTGATTCTTGATTTAAATACCCTTTGATTGTGATGAAGTGTAGTTTTACCTTCCTGGTAAAATATTTTATAAATAAATAGTTCATGCAAGGCATGAACAAACTTAAAGGACAACTATAGCTCAATGAAGTGGTCTGGGCGCCAGGTCCATCTAGGGCTAACCCTGTAGCTGTACCATAGTTTCAGAGAAACTGCTATGTTTACAATAGGGTTAATCTAGCCTCTAGTGGCTGTCTGATTGACAGCCGCTAGAGGCGCTTCTGCGATTCTCAATGTTATTTTCCTTGAACATATTTTTTTCTCCCTGACAAAATAACTATTTTACCCAATTAACTGTATCATGATTTACTAAAGCTGGATTCTATTTGAATGATTAGTGTACTTTCTGGGAAATACATGCAGGAGCCCCTAGGTATTTGCATATCACACCATTTTTCTAGGAGAGACACAATTGGTCTCTGCAAATATCTCACTCACTTATAGAGAGATCATGCTCTGTATCTACATGAAGTGCAATTTATATAGATAATTGGGCAAGTCACAATAATTGTTCTTTTGTATAGAAACAAAGCAATTTTCAAACTTCTAAGTATACATCTCTGAAATGGCTACGTCAGCATAAATTAAATAATATATATTATTTATCCTCAAAGAGATTTGAGTAAAGCAGTGTCTGGTTTTATTTACAGGTAATGCTACAATCTATGAGAAAGAAAGCGAGTTGATCTGTACAGTATACAGCTCCCAACCTGTAAAAATAGTATGGTCTGCTGCAAATGTGTCAAATCATCCCAACAGTACTATGATTCTCCCACTAAAAAGAGGTTACATGATGACCAGTACGATAAAGTTATCTGACGTAGAGAAGAATAATACTGTCTGCTGCTCTGCAAACAATGATATCAATTTCAAGGAAAAGTGCCTCAACATTTCCAAAGGTAATTTTTTTTTATTTAATGTTACCAAGTGTCACTGAACTGTAGATGTGATACAAATAAACTGTGGTATGGTGAAATAAGTAGACATATGTAGAAGAATGATGTTTTGGGAGGAAATAGGACAACACCTCTCGGAAACCACTGTTTTATAGGCATAGCAAGGGTTTATAAGGTTTCCTGGATGATGACAGACTTCAATAACAAGTTCCAAGGCACATTTATTTATTTTTTCTTAACCTTCATCAGAGGCTTAACATCACATTTTACTGCAACTTTATTCAAGAGGTGTGCATAAATAAATAGACACCTCTTGGATATAGTTGCAATAAAATGTGATGAATCCCAGTTGCAGACACAGATAAAAACAAACAAAAAAAAAAACGGGGTGAGGCAGAGGGGACAAAAGGATGAGTGCCATGAATATCTCAATAGGGTAAAAAAAAAAATTAAGACAGCACAAAGGACATGCAGGCACCATAACAGCTTCATTGAAATAAAGTCATTACAGATCCTGGAGTAGTCCTTAAAAGTTTAAAACACATCAACAACCAAAAACATGTTACACAGCCAGACACATGATATAAGACGTAAAATTATTCTTTATATAAGTAAACTGCGTATGTCATTTGAAAAAACAATTCAAAGAACAGGTATGAACCTCAGTAAATTAGGAGGTGTCAGTCACTCCCTGTTTGTCACAATACTTATCTGATCGATCTCGTTGATCCGGATGTCTTCACAGGTCGCATGTGTTGAATTCACCATTCGGCCGCACAACATGTCCTATAGCGAATGGCACATCCTTATGGCTAAACATTCACATAACATTACTTCTGATTTAGAAGTCACATCACCTAGGTGACCTCATTCTTATACTTTTTGCAGTCGCAGGGGTGACATGGACCAATCAGTAACTCTACATATATCCTGTTTAGGCCCTTACTCAGTGCTCTGTCGTTTGTACTTCTGGTTTTGACCTTGGCTATTTTTTTGATATTTGTGTACCTCTGGAATCCTGATCGGCTTGTGTATCTTATTCCCATCTATCTATTGGTACCTCTTTATCAAGGAGAAAAATATAGAGTTGGCCTTTTGAAACGTTTAAATCCATAAGGAGTTTTAGACAAGTAAAGCACATGAAGTACTCAATTTGTTTTTTGTTTTTCAGATGTTCTTGTGATGTTATCAACTTCTGAGAAAATGAAGGGAGACTACAATAAAGTAGCAATAGTCACCCCAATAGTCATTGGGGTGTTGGTTGTTGTGGGTCTGCTTTTGGTGTACACGTATCTACTAATGAGGCGCAAGAAAAATCGAACAAGAGGTAAAGGGAGATAGTTATCAGCATTTCCTTTATTATATAATCTATCTGTCCACCCACCACCATTCCACTCACTCCCATTTGCCAGGGTGCTAACATTTCTTACATACCACAGAGAGCAAGTTTTCAAAATTTTCAAACTGAATAAAGATGTTTTCCTCAGATTTGTTGAGTATTGGGATATCAAAGTAGTATTTTTGGGAATTATTGAGTGAATAGTGAGTAAACTACCAATGGGCAAATAGTAACATCAATGAGTATCCCAAAAAGAATCCCAAATAACATTCCGGTAGATTGGAATATCCTCAGTCCAGCTGATAGCCAGTTATTGGACGTGTATGAAAACAACCAAAATGTTACTTTTAGTATCATGAGGAAATCCCAGATGTATCTATAAAACAACGCTCCCACAAAGAGTTGCACTTGGCTTTCAATTCGGCTCAACTCCTTTGTCTGTAAAACCCACTTCATGGCCTTTTATATTTAACTCTGTGTACTCCAGCCCTAACTCAATGAGGCATTTATTTTATTGATTACTGGCATTTATACTACACCAACATATTCTCCAGTGCTGTATATAATGAGTTAACACTAAAAACCTATCAAAATAAAACAACTTAACCCCTTAAGGACCAACTTCTGGAATAAAAGGGAATCATGACATGTCATACATGTCATGTGTCCTTAAGGGGTTAATATAGGAAATAAAAATCGCCTTAAAATATCACAATCTGTTCCCTTGCCGTATCAGATCTAAAAATATTTCCTGCATATCTTGTCTGTGAGTTATCCATTGTGTTTATTTAGTACCCACAGCTAACCTCTTTCATATAATGGCAGACAAAAATATGTAAATGCATTCAACCAATATATAACATATTAGATATGCATATCTCTCTATATTATCATATCTATCTAAAAGGCATACGTAGGGCATTTAGCATCGGAGGCAGATTGGTCCTTTGGCTCATCACTCACCCTTAAATTTTTTATACTGAAAGGTGACATTTCAATGAATACAGCTATTGCTGTTTATATGGTAGTTAGGGTGCAATGAGTATCTCTGTATATCTCTTCCCTTGTGTCTACCTCACCTATATAACAGTTATATCGCCCTCCCAATTTTTGTTTCCCTTCTTCATCTCTCCATCCTTGTATTTATCCCACATTTGTGTCTTCATCCTAATTGTGCCTTTTTGCCTTTAATACATTTTTGTGTGTCTTGCACCCTGCCAAGTGTGCATTCAAACTGTCCATAGGAAAGCATGACTCAATGCTTTCCTATTGCTGTCCAGCGTGTCATCAATGCGATTTTCGCATTGAAAATTGCGGAAGCAGGCTCCTGTGGCTGTCAGGGAGACAGCCACTAAAGGCTAGATTAACCCTCAATGTAAACACAGCAGTTTCTGCTATGTTTACAGCTGCAGGGTTAAAACTAGGGGGACCTGGCAACCAGACCACTTCGTTGAGCTGAAGTGGTCTGGGTGCCTATAGTGGTCCTTTAAGCTAAATTTGTTTTGGTGCCTATTGTATCCCTTTAAATCTTATTGTGTGAGAGGTGGACTACATAGAGCTAGGTGGGTAGGTCCCGATGTGTCAGGTGGTGAGGTTTACAGAGATAGGGGTGCAGTCAAATTCCATAGAAAGAATACGGTGCCCACAGTCCTAAAAATGTACACAATCCCACTGCCTTCACTAATCTTGCTTTTGATTGTTTCTATATAATAGGCTATTTGTGTTTTGTTTTTTTCTTTGACTCTGTCTGTAGCCTGTTGTCAATGAGAGTGTTTTGTGAAAGCGAATGTATAATGAGTAGTGACACAATTTAACTCTTTCAGAAAGGGGTTTCTCTGAAAGTTCGCTCACAGGGAGAATGGAGACAGAAGAGTTCATGGTAAGTGTGATGAATAAAAGGAATCAGGTTGGCAGGACAAGTGTCAAAAAGATAGTGTATTACAATCCTAATCCTAAAATTCTTATACTCAGAATCCTAATCCTAAAACTCTTATAATCAGAATTCTAATATTAAAACGCTTACCAGATAATATAAATGCAAGAAAAAAGTGGGAAGAAGATGTGAGAGGTTTAGGAATAGGATTAAAGTTTTCACTAAAGTTAGGCAATTATTTATTTTTCTAATCATGTAACCTTTTTGAGATTAACACATATATGCTATATCAGCTAATTATATTAGTCTATTAAACCAGGAATCTGTATGTAAAAAATGAAGGAAAAAGGGAGACTACTAAACCAGCAATACAAGCATTAAGGGGACAATGTAGGCACCCAGACCACTTCAGCTGAGAAACTGCAATAATTATCTCTGATGGTTAACTCCTCCTCTAGTGGCTGTCTACCAGATAGGAGCCTATAGTGCCAGGAAAACGGGTTTGTTTTCCTGACACTATAAAATCCCTTTAAACAGCAGATAAGTCACATTTAAGTATTCTCTCCATAATGCCTACACAGACTGTTAAAGGAAAGATGCAGATATATAAATGCATGTTTTTAAGCAAATTATAAAGATATACATTTAGGTTTTAGTTTTTTTCAATGTGTCTGAAGTCCTACATAATTACCTTGCATTAGCTGCAGAATGGACTTCTGCAGCTAATGTCAATCCACCTTATCTTCAACTTTTGTTTCCTAATTACAAGCTAGCAACATTCTTAGTTCCAAAGTTTCCAGAGGTACATATGTCAACACTGCACCTTTACATCACAACTCATGGCTTGATCCTGAAATGATTTCTTAGTTTATTATGTTTATTTATTTTTTTCCAAGACATGTAAGTACTTACTATATATCATTTTTTTTTACATTTTCTCACAGGACGATCCAAGCAATATCGATCTTTCTCAAGAAGATCCTTGACATTCATCTAATTAATCTAAGAAATTTCATCTAATTCATCTAAGAAATTCATCTAATATATCTAAAATACTTTATTTTATTTAATACTGTATTTACAAGAGAAAATTGTTAAGGAAAAAAAACACCTTTTTTTTTTTTTAAAGAGATATACCATTTACTTTTCAAGGTAAATGCTGTATACTTTCCCATCTGTTTTTGTTATTGTTTTATTTATTTTTTTACTCAAGAAATAAACAGAGAGGGAAATATAGGAAGCCAGTAACAAAGCACATTCCGTTCAATTGGATGATTTTGTTTACCTACACGCGATCTATGTCTTGCGCCAAGCACAGTAAACACAAATATCAGATACGAGCAAGTTCAAGCAGGAAAGTATTCTGTACCGAAGTTCCAAGATAAGGAAAATGATTGAATCCTCATTACGCGACAATCTGAGAGAAGCTTATTCAAGCCTCCTCCACGGCAAAGTGCGGCAACGTTTTGACATCTGCTCTTACTTTTCCTCGGCCACGATATTATGCAAGACTGATTTTATTCTCACTGCTTTAACAGTAAAACAAGAGGTTCTCTCCGTGGATCCAGGTGGAAGCCGTAACACTATCCCCACTTTTCTTTCAACAGTTTTTATTTTTAACATTGAACCAAAAATTACCTTGTAAATTAAAAAAAAAGGTATTTCAAATTCCTATTTTCATTGTATATATCTGCTCCTGTTTTAGGGTGTAATTAACTAATACCACAATTCTATCTTTTAGAAAAACCGCATAAATTATTGTTCTAAAAAACAAATTATAAAATATGACAAAGTCATGTTTTAAGAAGATTAACAGGGTTATTCACTTAATTGTGGATTGTCGGCAATGCACAATTTACAGTGAATTTCAAATTTAAGGACAAAACAGGTAAACTGGAAAAATTCTCAAAGTCAGTTATGCATCCAGGTCAGCTACTTGAGCCTTAAATTTGAAAGTCAATCAGAATTCCGGAAGATTATCACTTTACAGAATTCCCCTGTTACGGTCAAATTCCGAACAGCCGTAATGGAAGTTCATTGTGCCATAGTTTTCAGGGAAATTACTTATTAATTAATGTAGATATTTTCTTGTTCATAAATAAAGCCTAATTGTACGGAACAAGATATATTTTGTTATTAAACTGTAAAATGAAAATAATTTTTTATGCTGTTACAAATGTGTAAAATAAGTTTTACTTTTTACAACAACCAGGAATTGTGGGAAAATAGAGAACTGCACATGTGTGTGTATATATATATATATATATTTTTTTTTTTTTAATTTTATATATATATATATATATATATATATATATATATATAAAAATAAAAAAATAAAATAAATTTTTTATATATATATATATATATATATATATAAATTCTTAATTGATGAATAAAAATAAATTCAATATTAACTTTCTATTTTAGGATATGTTGATTTCTAATTTGGCTAAACAGTTAAAATTCCTTTTAAATTCACAATAAACCTATGGCAGTTTTCATTATGTAATGCATTTTTCCATGTAAATGTTCCATTTGTTATGTACATATGTAAATAATTGTTTTGGTTTTTTTCCTATTTGGAAATTGGTCACAGTTTTTTTTTTTATAAAATTTGCACAATGTAAATAAATAAAACAATTCTTACATAATGTGAAGCTGTATAAGCGTCCTTTCTTGATTTACTTTTTAAGGTATTTTGGTGTATATTTGGCTAATGTACTTGTTAATAAATAAAACATTTTGGAGACGGCGAGACAAACAATTAAACTAATTTAATGAGGCTATTTACAGGAGACTGGCAGACTTTGGTTTACAGCAATGTTAAAATGCAAACAGTCCCATGTGGACAAAACAAAACTAAGAGTCAAATGTTTTACATTAAGCAATATAAGTTGCTGTTATGAGAAAAGGTTACAGATAACTTCATGGTTCTTAAAGAGGGGGTTGAAATGAAATGAGGTCTTAATATTTTTTAAATGGGCAATGAATCACAGGTGGTAGTGGGAGTTGCTTTAAAATGATAAGAAAAGTGGGCCTGTCACCAGTAATTTACTTATTAACATAAATCAATAATTTAGAAAAAGAACAATGTATCTTAATTACACAGACTGATTTCTTTATTGTAGTTTAAAGACACATTACTGGGAGTATTATTGCTTTTGAGCTCTGTTATACACTCAGACACCAACAATATGGAACTCCTAGAAAAGAGAGATATTTGGATACAAAAGAGGGACAGAGAGATTTGGGCACAAAATAGTGGCTTTCCATCTTAAATGTGGACACTTGGGATGTATGTGCTAATCACATTTTACATACTTGGCCACTATCCTGGTTCTTGACCTCCTGTCCCTCTGTATAATTGTCCTAATGTCTCCGCTCATTGTTATGTTATGTTATCATTTATATAGCACCAACAAAGTCTGTAGCACTGTACAATGGGTGGACAAACAAGCATGTAGTTGTAACCAGACAAGCTGGACACACAGGAACAGAGGGGATGAGGGCCCTGCTCAATGAGCTTACATGCTAGTGACACAAAAGGTAAGGATAGTATTAGACTAGTGACAGTTGCAAGAGAGGAATCAGTCGGGAGCTATTAACAGTTTAATTGATACGCTTTTATGAAGAAGTGGGTTTTTAATGATTTTTTGAAGGAGTTCCACAGGAACGGAGCAGCTCTCGAGAAGTCGAGCATCAGAGGTGGGAGTATGGACAGAAGATAGACATAAGTCTTCAGCAGAGCGTAAGGGCCTAGATGGGACATACTTTAGGGAGGATAGATAGGTGGGAGCAGCATTATGTGGAGATTTGGAAGCAAGAACCAGAATTTTAAATTGAGCCCTATATCTTACAGGAATATCCCAATGTAGGGAATACCAGAAGGGTGAGTTGTGGGAGGTGCAGGCGTACAGGAAGATGAGCCTTTCTGCCGCGTTCATTATGGACTGTAATGGCGCAAGTTGGGCGCATGTAAGACCACTGAGATTCGGATTACAGTAGTCAAGGCGAGAAAGGACAGTGGAATGGACCAGCATATTGGTCGCATTTGGCGTTAAGTAGGGTCAGATGTGCGCAATGTTTTTGAGATGGAAGCGGCAAGATTTGGCTAAAGACTGAACATGAGGCGTGAAGGTTAGGTCCGAGTCAAAGAGAACACCTAGGCAGTGAGCCTGCATGGTGGAGCTGATGATAGCACCGTAGACTTGGAGGGAGACAGACACAGGAGCAGCAACACTTGAGAGAGGAAAGACCAGAATTTCAGCTTTGGATGAGTTTAGTTTAAGGAAGTGGGCAGCCATCCAGTTAGAAATAGCAGAGAGGCAGTCAGAGACACTAGTTAAGAGGGACGGGGAGAGATCAGGAGAGGACAGGTAGATTTGCATGTCATCCGCATAGAAATGATATTGGAACCCAAAGGAGCTAATGAGTTTACTAAGGGAGGCAGTATAGATGGAGAAAAGTAGAGGACCAAGAACCTTGGGGGACACCAACAGAGAGGAATCGGGGAGAAGAAGCAGAGCCAGAGAAAGAAACACTGAAAGAGGTAGGAGGAGCACCAGGAGAGAGCAATATCTTGCAGACCGATATTGCAGAGGATGAGAAGAAGCTGTTGATGATCTACAGTGTCAAAAGCCACAGACAGGTCAAGGAGAATTAGGATAGAGTAGTAACCACGAGATTTTGCAGCGAGTAGATAATTGGATACTTTGGTCAGTGCCGTTTCCACAGAGTGCTCAGCGCGGTAGCTAAACTGAAGCGGGTCTAGCAGAGAGTTGGTATCGAGGAAGGCTGTCAATCTCGCATACACAACTCTATTAAGGATCTAGGATATATATATATATATATATATAAAACAAAAATAGTAATGCACTCCACCTTCCTTGATGTACTTGCCCGGTGCTTATCAGCAAACAGATACAGCCAAAAGTACAAGATAGCACTCCAGGGACTTCCTAGTTGAATGAATAAAACTTAGCTTTTATTAGCTCAAAATAAAAATCAACGTTTCAGTCTGTATCACAGACTTTCATCAGGATGAGCTTGCAAATCAAATCCATAAGAATGTATACCCCCAATATCCCCATAACTTACCCAGGTTGAGGATAGGAGTGATCCCAGGGGCACCTGACCAGCAGCCTGCTCAGGTCAAATAATTGACACTGATGATGTCATAGACGTGCGTCTCCTGGGGTCGTTCCCATAGCAACCCAGTATAACCAACAAAATAATACATATACATATAACTAAAAACATAGCCTGCATACAGGAATAAATTATAAATGTTGAAGAAAGACCTATACACCCCATCAGGGGCACAATCAACTCAGTGAAGGCTGCATTTACCATCCTGCAGAAACACCCATCACCAGGGCCGCCATCAGGGGGTGACAACCGTGACTGTTGTCACGGGCCCGGCGGCCCTGGGGGGCCCGGACTGCTCTGGCAGTCCTGGGCCCCACTTTGTTTCTCTGCACACATAGATAGCGAATATCGCTATCTATGTGTGCAGCCGCGGGCCCCCGGCTCCCTGTTACCGTCCGCAGAGGAGGCCCAGGCAGCACACAGCTTCTCTTCCTCTCTTCTTTCTTCTCATAACTCTCGCGAGACCCGGTTACCATGGCAACGCTCCGCGGGTCTCGCGAGAGTTATTAGAAGAGGAGAAGCTGTGTGCTACCTGGGCCCCCTCTGCGGGGGGACCCCCACCGGACCACCACAGATGGAATCTCCCCCCTCCCTGGATACAGGTAAGTAGGGAGGGGGGAGAAACATTTAATTCAATTAATTAAAAATTAATGTTAAAATGCCCCTTCCTCCCCCTCCCCCCCCAGATCACACATTTACACAACACACACTGCATACACTAACACAACACACACACACACACACTGCATACACTAACACAACACACACACACTGCATACACTAACACAACACACACACACACACAAACACTGCATACACTAACACACACACTGCATACACTAACACAACACACACTGCATACACTAACACAACACACACAATACATACACTAACACAACACACACTAACACAACACACACACTGCATACACTAACACAACACACACTGCATACACTAACACAACACACACAATACATACACTAACACAACACACACACACTGCATACACTAACACAACACACACTACATACACTAACACAACACACACACACTGCATACACTAACACAACACACATTGCATACACTAACACAACACACACACACACGCTGCATCCACTAACACAACACACACATTGCATTCGCTACACATTAACACTCTCTGCATTCACTACACTAACACACACTCTGCATCCGCTACACACTAGCCCACTCTCTGCATTCACTACACATTAACACACTCTGCATTCACTACACTAACACACACACTCTGCATCCGCTACACACTAACACAATCTCTGCATTCACTACACTAACACACACTCTGCATCCGCTACACACTAACACACTCTCTGCATTCACTAAACATTAACACACTCTCTGCATTCACTACACTAACACACACTCTGCATCCACTACACACTAACACACTCTCTGCATTCACTACACATTAACACACTTTGCATTCACTACACTAACACACACTCTGCATTCACTACACATTAACACACACTCTGCATTCACTACACATTAACACAAACTCTGCATTTACTACAAATTTACACACACTCTGCATTCACTGCATTAACACACACACTACATTCATTACACTGACATTCACTATACTGACACACACTCTGCATTCACTACACTAACATACACTCTGCATTAACTGTACACACAATGCATCCGCTACACAAACACACACTCTGCATTCACTGTACAAACAGTATCTAATACACACAAACACTACATCCATTACACACATTCTAATTCACTTCCACTATACACACCACATTCAGTCCTGCATCATTGTCAGCGGACCAGGTAGGGCCTGTGCGGGCCCGGGAGAGAGGGAGGGAGGGGGGGGCCCAAACCTTGTGTTTTGTCAGGGGCCCCAAAATTTCTGATGGCGGCCCTGCCCATCACTCTCAGGCCTCACTTCACAATCAACTCAGTGAAGGCTGCATTTACCATCCTGCAGAAACACCCATCACTCTCAGGCCTCACTTCACAATCAACTCAGTGAAGGCTGCACTTACCATCCTGCAGAAACACCCATCACTCTCAGGCCTCACTTCACAATCATCTCAGTGAAGGC